AAATAAACAAAAATTTCATGTACAAATCAAAGATTTGAAAAAAGATATAGTACGATCTGAAGAATTTGATTATGTTATTATAGCTACTGGACATTTTTCAACCCCTAATATACCATACGTTGATGGAATTGAAACATTTCATGGTCGTATATTACATTCTCATGATTTTCGTTTTGCTCAAGATTTTATTGATAAGCATGTACTACTTATTGGTAATGGATTTTCAGCTGAAGATATTAGTTTACAATTATACAAATATGGAGCAAAATCTGTTACACTATCATATCGAACTAAGCCAAAAGATTTCAAATGGCCTGATAAAATTAAAGAAGTACCATTAGTCATTAAAATTGATAACGAAACAGTATATTTTAATGATGGCTCGTCTGAAACAGTACATGCAATAATTTTTTGTACTGGCTATTTATATTATTTTCCATTTCTCGATGATACTCTTCGTTTAAAATTATCATCGAACTGTTTTTATCCTCCGAATTTATATAAAACAATATTTTGGTTAAATCAACCACGTTTACTCTATTTGGGTATGCAACGTATGGGACTTAGTTTTAATATTGGTAATGTTTTAGCATGGTATGCTCGTGATGTTATTCTAGGAAAAATTATTTTACCTTCAACAAAAGATGAAATGAAATCTGATATAGCAGAATGGCAAAAAAAAGAAAAAGGAATTCAAAACTTTACTGATTATGTTAATTTTCAACGAGAAATTGTTTTGGATTTAATCAATGCAACAGATTATCCACGCTTCGATATTCATCGTATGAATCAATTATTATTTGAATGTATGAAAACAAGATTCGAGAATATGCTCACCTATAGAGAAAAAACATATGCCTCAGTATTAACTAATACAATGGCCAAACCACATAATACACCCTGGTTGAGCGAAATGGATGATAGATTAGAAAATTTTATTCAAAAATAATGTTAGATCAAATATCCATAGTAAAGGAGGATGCGGGTGAGGTGTGAAGAAAAACAATACTTAAAGCGAAACTCATCATCACACTCACTCACCTGTTAACAATTTTCTAACCTAATGATTTTGGTATCTGTAAAGAAAACGGATCTCTCATTAATAAACCTGGTAACGAAATATTGTTGCTCTCGTTTCTATACCTTTCGATGACATCGTAATTATGCAAGTTGAGTCTTTCTTTTTCGTCTACTCATTGATTTCATTGCATGTACGAATAGAAAACAGTTCTATAGATTCGCAGTCTGAAAAGAGGTATGAGACTCTAGAAGACATTCAATGAAAACCAAACAAAGGTAATTCATAAGTAGATTTTTTCATTTGGAATGTACTTTTGCATTCAAACAATTCAACATTTCTTTATGCCTAGTACACAAACAGGCATCGAAATAATTTGAAAAGAATAGAAACAAAAGTGTAATGCCTTTTTTCACTCACTCTTGAAGGTGTGAGTAAAATCAATACTCATACCAATAGCCACATCGAACAGCTAAAAGAAGCAGACCAATACCCAAGCAAATAAAAAATTTGGAAAGCGTGATTAAACGCACAATTGAGAACCGCAATTGTGAGTCATTAACGGTCATATACAAAACGCGGAAAATGCTTCTTTTTGCGCAAAATTTTCACTTTCAGCGGGTGAAAATGATGCAAAACTACACTGTTTCAGTGTTAAAATGTCGTGTTTTTAGGCTTAGAACAAAAGAGCGTTTTAATACTGAAAAAGTGTAGTCATGCACTGTTTTCAAGCTCCAAAAGTGAAAATTTTGGGGTGTGAGTGTGGATATCTGTTTTTTTAAACACTCAAATCCACACACACCCACACCGTCTATATTATTCAACAATATTTAATTCTATATAATCGAATAAAATATTACGACAACAATATTCTCGTTTTATTGTAAATCCAAAATAAATCTCCGATAATTCGAATACCTTTATTTTACCCAGAATTTCATTAGACTCATCAGTATTACCACGAGTGGATGTGGATAGGTGGGCGTTTGTAGATCTTGGGGTGTGTGGGTGGGGTGTGGGTGTGGGTGTGGGTGTGGGTGTGGGTGTGTGGGTGTGGATGTGGGTGAGGGGTGTGGCTGGGTGTGGGGTGGGTGTGGGTGCCCGTGTGGGTGTGGGTGTGTGGGTGGGTGTGGGTGTGGGTGGAGATGGGTGTGGGTGTGGGTGGGTATGGATGTATTTATTTCTTCCGGGTATACCCACACGTACACCCACCCCACACTCAGTCGCACCCACACTCACCCACACCCACACCCACACCCACCCACACCCACACCCACCCACACCCACACCCCCACACCCACCCACACCCACACCCACACCACCACCCACCCACACCCACACACCCACCCACACACACCCACATCCACCCACACCCACACCCACACATCCGCACCCACCCACACCCACACCCATACCCACACTCACAGCCACACCCACACCCAACCTTGTACAATGATTCACTGAAACGAAAATCACCTACAGCAATCAATACTATTTATGTTCATAAAATATGTTCGAACACCATAGAAAGTTGGAAAAATCCAATGACAGAATACTTTCTTGTGTGAAGTAGAATGAAAACAGAACGAAAAAAATATTGTGTCATTACATGTGATTTTTTTCTTGCAAGGGTCACATTCTGTGCATTTATTTTTACCCAGTAGACGCTACTAGTATATGAAACAAGTGTTAATATCAAATAAGTTCATTTTAGATCATTATCGTTTTCTTGATTGTGCTACATACAGTAAACTAATGAGATATTGATACTTGTGAAATACTGATTTATTAAAACACTTTAAAACATCTTGAAATCATCGAATTTCATAATAATTTCTATATTCGATATAATTATTACTAGAATATTAAAACAACAATAAGGTAAGATTATAGGAAAGATCATATCATTAGTTTGAGTAATGAGATCGAGTATTTACTTTCTTGATGGTATATATGGAATGAACAAATAATTTTCTTAGTTGTTTGTAAAAAAAATGTTTTTCTTGTTAAGATTTGTCTAATAAAAAGCAACAAGTAATGACAGATATCGGAAGACTGTTCTAGTGCAAGTTTTTTTGTTTGTGTGTTTCTGATAATCAGTGTCATAAGAAGCATTATTCATTTGATTTTTAATCTGTAGGAATGAAAAAAAGAAAGTTTGAATTTATGTGAAATGCATTAGTATTGTATTCATGTATTTAACAATAAAACAAACAATCATGACAAAAATACTGAAAATATTCAGAAATTTATTTAAGAATTTCTTCAAACCAAATTATAGGGAAATTCATGTCCGTATCCGATCTACATCTCTCTCGAGATATTTGTAGGAAACAGGGTAACCGAGAAATTTTTAACGTAGAGACGCTTTTGAAAAATTTATAATTCCAATGTGATCGATCATATTGATTATATGCAGATGTATGTACGGAGCTGAATGAGCAGTCTTTCGATAGATAGAACAAATGATACATTTTTTCATTAATGTCCGCGATCATACAATTGATTACATATACATGCCACAGATTTTAGCTTAGTATAGGGCATATAATATCATATTTTTTTCAATTATATATAAACTTTCAAGTTGAAATAAACTAATTAATAACAATCTCTGTTTTTTTACCATACAAACTTTCATGCAAGGGAAACAGTCGACTTCAAGTTCGAAGTTTCTGCAGTTTTCCTTTTGCTTTCACGCTTGAACAAAGAAGAAACAATCTTTACGATAATTTACCATTAAATTCATACTCTATGATTTTATCAAATCGTAAACATTTATTACTGTAAGATTCTTGCATAATCTGAAGGTTGATATCGTACAATATCTTATATTGATAAATAAGATATCACCTTTTGGATTTCACTGCTGTCATCGACTTCTTTATTTTCTAAAAAATATATTTACTTTTTGTGTTTACATCAGATAAAGTAGGGTGGCCAATGAGAACCCAATAGTTTTCTTCCACTTACAATAGGAAAGCTGAAAGAAAAGAAAGGAGAATAATGATATTTGGAAAATCAGCAGAAGTTCCAATACAGTAAGAAGGTGAATCATAAAATACATTCGAGGACATTAAGAAAAGATTTATCTGGTTATTATAAGATTGTATAATAATATCGTACACAGTTTTATGCAATTTTCATATGATCTAGTAAGAATTGTATAAGATCCAAAGAGCAAAATGTTCGATCAGGATAGTTCTGTTTGTTATGAAAATTGTCATTGCCTAATTCCAAATAGGTTATAAATAAACAATTGATTCTTAATTTTTTAGGCTTTTTAATGAGTTCCAATGATATTCAAATGAAAATGGTTCGACAAAGATCAGGTTTGACATTCAGTTTTGAAATATTTTCGTTTTCAAAAATAGTTTATCTACTTCGAAGTTGAACCAGTAACAAATAGAAAGCGATTTCATGGAAACAATCATGGTAATACCAATCAAATATCTATGTTAACGACATTACCTGATGAATTACTACTTCATGTTTTATCTTACTTGAACATGGTCGATATTTGTAAAGCATTCCATGGTTACCATCAACGTTTCGATAATCTAATATATGAGTCTGCTCGACATATAACGTTGCCCAGTAATACGGATAATTCATGGATCGATCAATATATCCCGCAATTCAAATATGCTATTAAGACAATATGTCTCAATGAAAAATCTGTAGAATTCGTCTTTGCTAACAAGCACTCATTTTCAAATCTTCGATTAATTAATCTTCAAGGAAATGGTTGGAATATGGGTCTTATGTGCGAAAATAACTCTCCTTCAGTTGTCTTAGCATCTTCTCTACGTGTTCTTCAACAAATCAATCGTTCTGATTATGGACTCTCTATCTATATGGGAACTTCTATCAATTATGTAAGTTAAGAAATTAATGCTACTACATATAATATTTTTCTAATTGGTATTTCAGGTTAGTGATGATTATTGGGCAAGTTTATCCTGTCCATTTATTCAACATTTATCAATAAAGAAATGTTGTGTAGATGATATATTTATCATAAATCATTTGACACCAAACTTAATCCATTTAAATATCGATTTTTTGCTATCAGGTTGGGACATAGATCATGATCTCCAAAAATTGAATCATACGCTACGAATGTCACGTTTAGTTAATCTTAGTATAAAAACAGGAGAGTATATGAGTTTTTATCAACTGGAAAAAGTTATCCATAGTTTTAAAACATCACTTAAGAAACTAAAGTTCAGTATTAATTGTTGTGATCAAATTGATGGACATTGTTTAGAAAAATTATTCAAGTCTTGTGAAAAACTTAATAAATTTGCATTTCTTCTTCAATGTATTGATAAAGTCAATAGGAATGATTTTCAAGATTCTTTTCAAAGTGAATGGTGGCTGGATAAATGTCGTCCATCAGTATATATTCAACATGATGATAACGATCGTACGATTGTTACCACATTGCCACTGTGTTTTTCATTCAATTTCAAGAATTCTCTAAATAATTGGTACATCAATAAAGGATATGAAGATTTATCATTTGTTCGTTTTCCTACAATTAATAAAATTCATTTCGTTAATGATAATCATCAATCGATTAGTCTTGAATATTTGTATTTTATTAATCGTGTATTTACTTCATCGAACCAAATTTTATGTTTTAATTATTGTCATTTAGAATCAGTAGATATACTATTTTATATGGTAAATTTTATTTTTTACATAATAATATTATTTTCGTTTTTAATTACAGCTTATGGATGATACATCAATACCACCAGTATTACCTAATGTACATCATTTTATTATTGGTTCGGAAAACAAACTTGATGCATTAACATTATGTGTTTGGATTCTTCTTGCAGCAAATCTTACAAGTTTAGATATATCCAACTTGACGACTTTCGATAAAATAGAATTAGCAGAAGAATTGAGACAAATGATGAATGATGATAAACGTCTAAAACCAAATTTTAATCACATTAAAGTACTATATATCTTTCGATCATCTGATAATGATGATGTACAAACAAAACATGATTTATTACTAGCCTTTCAAAAGGTTTTTATCGAAGCAAATATTTGTTGATTAGAAGAATTTCATTTTTTTTTTATAATTTTAATATGTATTGAAATAATTTTTATTTATTTTTGGTTTTCTCAATACTGCCGTCAATTAATCGAGAACAAATAAATGATGAAACCTCGAATTTAAATCCGAGAGTTATGTGTACTTCAAAAAGTGAGTGAGACAGATGAGTCATCCTGGAACGCATGAGCCTAAAACTTTTCCTTGGCAAACCTTTTCTATAAATAATTGATTTCTATTGGCTACTGCTCAACCCATAGGATCTCGAGGTAAGTGGAGCTCAACTTCGAATTCTTCACCCCAGAGGGTGTGGGTGGGTGTGGGGTGTGGGTGGGTGGCCGTACTTATGTTTGACAGTCACACTCACACCCACACCCACACCACCCACCCTCACACACCCACACACACCCACACCCTTTTTACCTTTATTCATTCTCGTGAGTCGCATCACCACAGGATGCAATATTTTACCCTTAATAATTTTTTGTGAACAGCCAAAGAGGGGTATGTACCAACCGAATTAATTGAACGACCAATTATTTTGGCACCCGAAATTTTTAGTCATTATAGTTCTGAATTCGAAAATTGTGTGCACCTGTCAATTTTCGACACTAGTTAACTTTTGGCTCCGAAATTTTTGTATCTTGTTTCAGAGATGCTAAGAATTACGATTTAAGAGAGAGGAATTAGCGTCTGAACAAGCCTGGAATTAAGAATTCCAAATTTATCTGACGAGTCCCTTCAGCAAGGACGAAACGATCATTGTAAGTAGCTTTGAATCTTCTTGCAAACGTACACCCTCATCCCTCACGCTCCTCATAACTGCATTGCTTTGCTGTTGCCATAGCATTCTGTTACTTATAGTGTAACGTTGCCTTTGAATTCGATCAAAACTAAGTATGAATGATTTGTTTGCACCGACAGCTTTCATCTGTACACAGAGTGTGCAAAACGATGCAAGAAAGAATTGAGAAAAGGTTGAAAAATAAACAAACAAAACTTCGTATGTTTGCCACTCCTCAGTTTTTTTCTTCTTTTTCGGCATCGTTATAAAGTAAATTATATCGTATTTCGCAATTTTTATTTTTACTTTTTCTTTCGAAACGTCTGATTTGCACAGTAATTCAGCATTTTTTAACAATACCTGAAATTAGGCATGCACCAAATCCAAATCCAGTCAAACCCAAATCCTGGGTTTGACTAGATTTGGATTTGGGTTTGGCTGGATTTGACTTAGATTTGGGTTTGGGTTTGACTGGATTTAACTTGAATTTGGATTTGGATTTAGTGCATGCCTACCTGAAATAGTCCCTTATTGCTTTAACGTAATATACACATACACACATACTTGTTGGTCAGGGTGTGGATGTGGGTGTTGGTGTGGATGTGGGTGGGTGTGGGTATTGGTGTAGGTGTGGGTGTGGGTGTGGGTGTGGGTAAAAACAAGACAAACACCCACATTCACACCCACACACCCACTCACGCCCACATCCACACCCACCCATCCGCCCACACCCATATCCACACCCACTCACTCACACCCACATCCACCCCCATCCACACCCACCCACACACCCATACCCACACCCCGACACCCACACCTACACCCATTTCTTTTGGTATTTTTCTCAAGAAATAGAGGCATTTGGTGGCGATGCCTGTTGCCATTCGATATGGTACTCAGATACCAAGATCCTGGGAATAATATGGGGTAGAAATCTTACTTTCTATTCGAAACAGAAACACGTTGTTTAAAAGTTGTATTTCTTGGTGAAAAGAGAATTAGTCATTCAAAAATATGCTTCGTTTTGAAAAGCAAGTTTCTTTTTTTTTCAAAACTAAATGTACATGGTAAAAAAGTCTTTGTTGTCAAGAGAGCTTTTCAGGAGGTAACCAATAGCTGGAAATACATTATAAACAAACGTCATTACTCTGTATAACAGTTCCTCTATTTGACTTCTCTCTTTTTTCATATTAGAAGAATAACAAAATGTTGAAATCATTTGGTTTGTGTCATTGGTTCTTCATCTTGGTTGTTTATGTTTCGCCATCTGTTTCTCTTGCTACAACATCATGCATCTCAAATGCTGACTGTGGTTCAAACGGAGTGTGTTCCACTCCGACTTATACTTACAATTGTACTACAGCAGGTTATGTTACTGTTGATTCCAGCAAACCATGTGCTTATGAGCAAAAAAGAAATTAGTTGCATTTGTTCTCTCATTTCTGCTCGGACTTGTGGGTGCAGATTGGTTCTATCTTGCAGCTGGCAATGAAGATTACATCGCAGCGAGTGTGCTCAAGTTAATAACGTTAGGCGGTTTGGGTATCTGGGTCATAGTAGATTGGATTCGTATATGGACAGATTCTTTTCCTGATGGTCAAGGAGTATCATTACGCGATTGGGACTAACTAACGCATACTCCATTAAGATTACTCGTTGTGAACTTTTATGTTTTCTATGTAAATTGAGTTTGTGAAACGAGGCAAGGAGTAACTAGGAGCTCGATGTTGTTAATTGGTCCTCTTGCTTACAAATTTTTTTTTCAAATGAAGTATTCTCATTTCTAGGACTCAAATTTTTAACAGATTATGTGATTTGTAATGTTATACAAACAGTGTTTTATTTCATATCGCTTTGAAATCTCTTTAAATTTTGCCAGCCAAGTGGCGATCATTTCTTTTTTGTGGCATCATTTGCCTATTATAGACTGACTCACGACTTTCGCCCCAAATCGCTTTATAAATTTGTTTTAGGAAGAACATTGACAAAACTAGCATATTGTCATAAGTTCGCATGATTCACAACCACTTCACTTGCATATTCATTTTTTCATTTTTCGAAAGTTACAAAAATACGAACTATTGAGGGTGTGGGTGCGGGTGTGAGTGCACTATAAAAAATAGGGGTAGAATAATAAACCCTTTCATATACCCTCTTTGGAGTTTATTAGTATCATAAATCCTTCCATATACCCGTTTTGTTCATAAACCCTAGGAAGAGTATTTTGCACGTTGCACTTTCATAAACCCCTTAGGGCATATGAGTAGAAATATACCCTTAAAGGGTTTACTAGCTTCATAAACTCTTCAAAAAAGCGTTTATTAATGTACCGTTTAGAAGCAACCACAGAAGGGTGTGGGTGTGGGTGAGTGTGCAGACAAGATCTATATCCATGTACCCACAACGATGCTCACACCTGCAGCCACCGCCACACCCACACCCGCACCCACACTCACAGCCACAGCCACACTCACACCGACACCGACACCCACTCCCACACACACCACACCACACACCCCAGTAATGTCAAATCTGAAAGTTGAATTCAACTATTGAAGACTTTTTCAGATATTTAACTATTCAACCCTTAAATAATTGACGTAAAGATATTCAACTATTCAATTATGTGTGTTTTTCCATTTGTGCCCTGTCCTGTCAGTCCTTTCGCAGTTCCCACACCAGCTGCGATGATATGTGTGTGTTTGTGTGTTTGTTCCCTTTTCGGTCAGTCCTTCCACAGCGCCCACACCAGCCGGATTCGATGTGTTGTATCAGTTTTCGGGAAACTGATTTTACTGCAAGAACATATGTAACAGATTTCTAATGGCCATAATGCACATAAAGCACATAATGCACACAAAGACCATAACGGACATAATGGCCCTAATGGCCGCAACGGATATAATGAACATAATCGCCGTAATGGCAGTAATAGCTGTAAGGGCCGTGATGAGAGTAATGGCCTTAATGGTCGTAATAACCATAATGGATATAATAGACATGATGAGCCATTGCAGGCTCATCTGACTTTCCCATAAATCCAAATGAAATGACACGCGACTCTAATTATAACTTAGGAAACCCAACAGAATCCTGCTGAACTCTAAATCAACTGTCCTACCTTTCGTGGCACCCTCATCCAGTGCGATTCGATGAGAATCGTTCTCGGGAAACTCATTTCTTGGCACGCGCACCCAGTGCGATGCGATGAGTGTCGTTGTTGGTGAAAGTCCTTTCTTGAACGCTGACTGAGTGTGATGTGATGTGTGTCGGTCTCTAAACTTTGAGCATCTTTAATACTGGGGACATGTCGAAGGCTGGGGGAGCTTGTGTGCTTGGCATAGCTCGTAAAGTTATTTCTGAAGAGTGAATAGGCACTGAGATAAAGCTCTGTGCATTTTAATGGATTGCATGCTCCACAAATGAAGAACGATACGGTTTCGTTGTATGTGCTATCTGAATGTGTTCCCGCTTGCGCGCTTGTGTTCTCTTAGGTTCGTTTTACTGATTCTGTTCGCGGCGGCAATGGTATGGATGAATGATATTATTCTCAGATGGCGGGTGTGGGTATATGTGGGTGGTGTTGGCTGGCGTCGGATTCGATTTATAATTCCTACAATGCCTATATTTTTGAAAAATCCAATATTTTACCAAAAAATGTAAGAAATCCGATCTATAAAGGGCGGTCAGACAATCGCAGTTAGATTTTGCATTTTTTGCACAGAACTTTTTCCGAGATTCGGCTCAGCTCTGACGAAATTAAGAGACTTTCGCCACGCTACCTCCTCCCCGTCATCAGTTTTCACACCTCGAATAGGCTAGCATTTTCTGACAAAATTTTAGCCAGCGCACTCCTGAAAAGAATCGAATACTCTGCTTTTAAGCACTAATGATGAATAAAAAAATCCAATCTTTTTTGGTGAAAATCCTATAATTTAGAAAACTGAATCCTATACGACTTCCTCTATTTTCAAACATTCGTAATTCGAGGCCAGTATTGGTATGGCTGTGTAGGTGAGGGTGATGAAAAGAAAATAAGGCATATTCACACCGACACCCACACCCACACCCACACCCACACCCTCATTTTTTTTTATCTTTTCATTTTTATTTTCATTTTTAATAATTTAAAAGAAACAAATTATATTGCAACAGATTATCGATCGTACGCTTTATCATGCACAGCTTATTAGTATGCATCAAATGCTTATCAAAC